TGGAATTATATACTTAACAAAAAAGTGTGAAACAACTGCAAATATGTCTTACATTCTAGCTTCTTCAAAGTAGCCACCTTTTGCTTTGCGGGTACAGCATCAGGCACGAAACTACCAGGGCATACATCACAGGACAGCCTTTTGAGAAGTTGGCCAAAAACAAACGCTTAGATTTATATTTAAATGTTTAGTCTTTCTTAATATTGAATCAGACGTTGAATCTGAAAAAATCAGTATTGATCCAAACATGAGCAGGCCTCTCAGGATGTGTGGAGCACGCCAGTGTAATCTAGCATCAAATCCAGCTGGCCAGGAAGGAGGGGCCAGATCTTCACATAGTATTTCTGGACCATTCAAACGCTTTTGGCTCACTCCCGCACGACCTCCTGTGGACAGCCTTTGATTACTTCAGAGTCCCATCAGCCCTTACAACCCTGGTCAAGCCGTACTTCCAGGACGTCCAGCTCTGTGTGACCACAGCAGCGTACACCACAACATAGCAACATCTGGAGGTGGGCATCAGGGCCGGTTGCACCATCTCCCCCACTGGCCATAGACGCACTGTAAACGGCTTATATTAAATAACACAAAGACACAAGATCAACAGTTTTATATTTGTTCTTTATTTCCTGATTCTCAGTTACATCCCAAACTCAAAGCTTTATTTCCCCACTTCACAATAACGTCAACGAGGCCAATAATAACTGTTCACATGTTGCTATTTTTGTTGTTTTTTGGGGCGTTGGAGACATTCACGAGAATAAAATGTTGTATAAATCACAAACATTTAAACATTTAAAAAACTGACAATGGAAGAAAATAAAAATAAAATAAATCCATGACATGCCTGATAATACTGCATCCTTTTAACTGTGCAAATGTTGAAGATGAACTGGTGCAAATGTAAGAACTCATAGCACTGAATGCAGACTAAGTTCATAAATGTTTAGAAGATTAACCCAGTTTCAGGGCATTTTATCCCTTTATTTCCCTTTAGTCTTAAAAAAAATCCCTTGTACTGCATCTGTGCTTTTAATTAAACAGGTTAAGATAAAACAGCTTAAGTGGGATCAAAGTGTTTTCTATGTGTTTTGATGAGTCAACAGCTCCTATTGTCACTGATGCACCAACACAAACAGCTCTGATATTTGTCAAACAGGCTCTGCCACCTGCACCTAAAATGTTCAAAGACACAAATCCCTCTGAGACTAAAGCCAGTGAGCTGTCACCCCGTATTTAGAAATTCAACTGTTCAGCTTCCGATGTGCCTCGTGCAGCTTGCCTTTGCTGTTGGGTTGGAAATCTGTTCTCAACAGGGCCGCCTCACACTACTCTGACATAAGAGGAGCCTGACTTCAGCATCTGAAGCGTAACAATAATTCTTATAGATTTTCTAAACCAGGGATAGAAGAGGGCGTAGATCAGAGGATTGAGACAAGAGTTAAAGTAAAAGAGACCAATCGTAACAAAAAAGGAAATATCATTGAACTGTAGGGCCTGATGTTGGAGTGATACACAGAAATATGGGCAGAGGCACATCAGGAACACAACAACAACAACCCCCAGAGTCCTGGCTGCTTTCAGCTCAGATTTCTTAATGGTTATTTTCCCTGAATGCTGCTGTGATGTGAGAGCGCATGGCCCGAACCTGAGACAGAACCACCATAAACACTCTGAGATACAGACAGATGATGGTGGTAACTGGAATGATGAAGGTCAAGAATAGATCTACAGCCTGTTTAACTAAATCAATGGCAACCGAACACTCTCCTGTGCAGGAGTTATACCGGCCCAGTTGTTCAAAATGTTCCCTCAAAATCAGAACGGCATAGAGGAGAGAAGCCGTCCAACACAGAGAGATGCACAGCTGGACCCGGTTTACAGTCACTTTGGTGGGATAACGCAGGGGATCGCAGATAGACAGGTAACGGTCAGCTGATATCAGCACCATGTTCCCTACTGACACCGAGGTGAGAACTGTATCCAAAGCAGTAAACAGAGAACACACCAGTTCACCCAGATACCAGCAGCCGTCCACCAGCATTAGCTGGAAAAACCACAGGAAGCCCACTAAGAAGTCTGAGACAGCCAGAGAGAGGAGGAGGAGGTTGGTGGGAGTGTGGAGCTGCCTGAAGAGGAAGCAGAGAAAGGATCAGGAGCTTTGGGGAAACACAACCCAAGAATAAGAAACCAAAACACTTAATCAGAATAGTCTCCTGTTCCAATCAGAATCAGAATAAGGTTTATTGCCAAGTAGGTTTTTGACTTACAAGGACTTTGCCTTGGTGTTTGGTGCACAACACTTCTATGAGAAGCAAGGAAATACAATGTAGAAAAAAATATATACAACAGAAAATATCAAACTAAAAAGTACAATCTTTAAAAATATAGATCTGAGGTGTTTAACCCTGTAATGCCAAATATGTCATATTTGATTTGTACGGTTTCTGAAATGTTTTGCGTCTGACACCTGTTGCATAATTTAACAGTAAAAACTTTGCTCAAAATCCTATTGTACACAATCAAATACACCTGATTACAGGGGGAAGAAGACTACACAAAAAATATTCTTGACTTATCGCACAGTAATAAATTATTAATATTAAACATTTATTTCAGTTTTTTCTTTTTACATATTTTGTTAAAAGGCCAAATAAAGACTTCAAACAAAAAAAGAGTAATTTTCTTTTTTGTTTCATTCTGGGGTCGGGCTTTAAAGGGTTAAATGAGGATTTACCTGAAGTGTGAGATGGAGATGATGACCAGCAGGTTGAGGGAGGCGGTGAGGGCAGAGATGGAGGACAGGACGACGGAGAGCAGCAGCTTCTCAGAGGGAGACTGCTGCTGTTTCCTGCAGGAGGTGTTCAGCTGGGGGAAGCAGAGCTCCACTCCTTCCATCATCAGCGGGCCTGCTGGACTCGGGGCCAGACCTCAGCACCTATAACTC